AATTTCAGGGCAAGTGTAATTTTTGTATCCAGCATCCTTCGTTTGTGGATCTACGCTATCGTGCTCTCAGCGAGGATTGTCTTATTTCCAATGGCATTTTCAGGCAAGAACAGTCTGCTCGTTTTCTTTCGATACATAGTGTAATGCGAGCTTACAAGATTATTATTATTATTACTATTATTATTAACGTAATTGAATGGGTAAGTTTCGCACGTGTGATGGGTCTGCTTAGACTGAGGAGAGGCGAAACCAGATCTTCTATCCATTTGTTGCATCCACTGTTGCAGATACACACTTATTTACTTACACAACATGAGGGTCAATAGGGATTGCACTAGTGTTTGATACCCGGTTGAATCCGACAGCTGCTTTCGTCATCTTCGTTATTTGAATGCTCAGATTAATGGCCGTATCATGTTCGGAACAGCAGGCTATTTTAGGCAACGAGGCTGTTTATGGTTGTTTTTGTCTTATTACCGCCGTTGAGGTTACAATGTATTTTTTGACTCTAAACAGAAATTAAAATATTTATTTGAAGAAATCCTGTCGTCGAAATTCAGCAGGTGTTAACACCGCAAAATCTGACGAAAACGCCGGCGACTGCCACATTACAGGAAGATTTGTCAGTAAGTTCTGTCTCTAACGGGAATTCAAATGCAGATAAAAGCAAAGCAAGTCTGACGGTTAGTTTATTTTATCTTGCTTCATTTTACGTAAAAGACGCTTTATAGAGCGATGACGTATGTTTTATCGAAAGCGCGTGTGACAGTAATACCAGTTGTGACGAAAAGGAAAGAACTGAGCCCAAAAAATTTGGTTTAAGTCAGGATATAGCCAGACACTAAATTTTTGACGATGTTTTTTAGGAACGTTGACTTCCTCTACCCCAAATCTGAACAATGCCTAATTTGTGGTGTTGTTCTCACTCGCCTTTCTTATTTAGTTACGTGATTCAAATATGCTTTGAAATTTGTATTCTGCCATGCAGCCAACGACTCTCAGGTCCCTGCGCTATTTTTTTAAACGTTTTTAATCGGTGATGGCTCAAATTTTGTTTTCTACTGTTTGCATAAATATTATTTTACATGATTGTACTTTTTAGCATTTGTTTCATCTTTGGCAAAAAGGAATTGTTACAAATGGGCGGCAGCAAAGGTTCCTTGTAAGAAAAAGTTCACGTTGTGAAAGCTGTGCCAGAGCCTCTAGTTGCTTTAGCATGTGAAGTCTGTAAAATTTCGATTCACTTAATATCTGAACGGTGTAACATGGTCTTCATCTATGTAGAATTCCACAAACGATAGGAACGCTGATAGAAATCCTGTGATTCCAACTGCGCCTTAGGACTATGGTGTCTGTAGTCGACAATAGATAATCGTTTTGTTCAAATTTAAGATGGCACATGTGGAGGCCGTGCCCAATGAAAGGAGGTTCAGACTCTTTAGGCACTTGCTTAGAGTGCATTAATTTTTACTCAAAAGACAGTAACACAAAATAAATAATGTAACGGTAGGCATCATGCCATGCAGTGAGGATGTAACATGAAAATGTAGACCATTCATGTACGTTGCGCTCAGTCAAAAATCCGTTCTTCAGAGGCACTGCTTCCCATACCATGAAGTAACTGTCTCATCTGATGTCAACTATTATTGAATGTCCACAGTTGCACGTGACTCAAGTCAAAAAAAACAGCCAGCAAACTGTATATGGTCGTAAAAGTGCAAATACAGGATACTAGAAGTATAACGGGCAAAGATGTTAAAACACTGATAGCGGATCGTGTACAAAGACGCGACAAATCAATGTATTTATACTGTTTTTGTGTACTCTATTCTACACATTCTATTACAGTTATTTACATGCTAATCACAGTTTTCTAATAAGTAACCGACCAAAACGTCATCAAAAAAATAACGTAAAAAATAGGTAATATGATTTCCAATACGACGCCCATGCGCCGTATTCTGTCGTTCAGGAAGATGCTTTGTTTCTTGCCGGTGCTCCTCCACTGGCGTCTGGTAAATTCATGCAGTGCCGACGAGTCTTTTGAGTCATCCTTCTCCAGTTCGTCCTGAAACAACAGCGCCATTAGCCTAATTGATGCGTCAACGAATGCAAATATTACGGAAGCTGCATCGATATATGGCAGTTTCGACTCAAGGAACATATAACCTTGATTCTGGTACAGAACGTGAGACATTCTCCAAGCAAAGATCAGCAGCACAATCACGTTCAGAAACAGAAAGAGTAGGTGCACACCCGTCCAAATTTCCATATAACTGTAATTGACAACTTTTCCACTTTTTGACCAGTAGTTTTGCATCTAAACGTTTATATTAAAACGGTAATTCACAGATGGATTTGTACTTCTCGGTTGGTAATTTAAATATTAGAATTAGAAATGGATACCTTTTCACCTGAGTCTATTGCAAATTTCCAAAGAAGTTCGAAAATTACCATATTCTTTGTTAAATGAGGCTCGACTTTTCGATCCACACGCTGATTTTTATATTTTTGTATTGAAAAATTTATATATCCGTGAGAAGAGGCACTGTTCCACTGTTTAGGGGATAAATCATCAGAAAAAGTATCTGTTCCTAAGTTCACTAAAAAAACTTCGACAGTGCGAAGTCTCATGAAGTCTTTACCTAGAACGTAATGAGACCGGTACGATCTGTCAAAGACATATGGCAAGCGTTAACCCATAGTTGTGGCCATGACCAGATGCAACGATCATGTTAAAGTTACCCAATCAACAGTGAACAAGGATCGATCATGGAAAAACGTGAACTGAACGGTCAAAAATGCGGGATGACGATTTAACAGGTTAAAGGTTTAACCAACGGATAAAACTAAGCAGAAACTTCATAAATTACCGTGTTTTCCTCACCTTCTACATACTGTTGACCTAAGCCTCATTTCCCTTCATGCATTATCAAGTACGCGGATTACAGAACATTTACAAAAGCCATTACTAATGTCTACTTCTCACTTACGAAAATAACCTGTTCAGCTTCGTTACAGATTCGTCTGATATCTCGCCGCGATTTAATCCACAAAAATGTCAGGAAATAAGCCATATAAATAAGAATACAACAAATCTTCAGTTTTTATATGTAGTCGACGTTCCTTTTTATATACATGATGCAGGCGAGGTCAACGACACCGGGGGATTCCATCTCAAAATCTGTCTTGGTTCGAACATGTTAAGGTATTTGCTGCTAAAGCATGGAGGAACATGCTCTATTTTATTCGTCAGAGGCAAGTAGGTCACCAAACTCCACTCTGTACCCTTTCCCCAAATCGTGGATTCCCCCATTTTTTACGTATGCATCCCCCTATGTTCCTTTCTGGACTTCACAAAACAGATCTTCGCATTCTGAGCCTGGCCTTAAACTTAACATCACTGTTGGGCTACATCGATTTTGTAATTCTCGTCAAAGGTTTTGTACAAGACGATGTGAAAGTTTGACCACGCTTGGACACCGGCATTCTCTCTAACTGCAAACATCCTCTTCACCCCGCTCTGTTGTCTTCTATATCTCTACACCCGGGTACAAGATCAAGAATTACTAACATCTACTGTCGAACGGAACTGAAACGAAATTCAGTTATTCACGCCTTGGCACGCATCCTGAAGGATCGCTCATCGCAAACTGAGAGACAGCACAAACAACAACTTAATTTAACTACCATTTAACATGTACTTATGCACAACGTGTTTCTTGGTTCAGTATGCTGAAAAATACGGTCATGGGCTATATTACCAAGCAGTGAAATACAGGTGTTCCTCGACTTACGAAGTTACGTTCCGACGAACTCATCTCAAACTGAAAATATCGTAAATCGAATATGAAAAAGATAAGATAAATAAGTAAATAAAAGACTACAGTCATTTAATACGCAAATAAATAAATAATTGCTGGAAGATGATGCTGAGTAATAGGTTAAAGAGAGAGCCATCAATCATATGTTCTTCAGATGATGACATACTAGAGCTCGTGGTTCAGACAGGAACAGGTGCTGGTTCCTTCAGCAAGTTATCAAGTTTTGACAGAACAGTTAGTTTTTTCTTTTCATTATAAATTTCTCTAAGGCAAGCAAGAGTATCCCGTGTTTGCTTTGAAATTTTGCGAATCTCATAATTATGGGCATATTGTCACTGTATGAGATAATTACACTAGCGCTCGCTACAGAAACTGAGGGCGCATCGGCATCGCACGGTTAAAGTCGAAATATCTATGGTCGAACTATTGTAAAACCGAGGAGCGTAAACTAATCATGATGGCCTTGGGTTGGAATGGAAGCGACGTTTCTTCCCTATAACGTTGAGGAATGGAAATGCCATAATTAAAGCACCACTTGAACGAACGACAGTTGAAAGTTTTGGATAGTCCCCCCTCACTCTCCTAGAGTGAATAAAGACTGTGGTGAGTAGGGATTTCGTGTACACGGGATTCCGCGTATAGCGAAACCGTGCATTTCGAAGATCAGCAGTTGATTATATCATACACTATACATCTGGCTTATACAACGCGAATTGTCTTTAGTAAGGAAACTACTATATGAAATAAGGCACCTCGCGTTGCTTTCCCTAGAAACACTGTTTCCACTCATATCTTTCGCGCCAATTTTAAACGTTAACCAAAATCAAATCAAAGCAGTAACTCATCAATGTTAACAGACACAAGAAACGCACTGAGATTCATTGAGGTTTCAAAATATTGGACGTCGGTCATCCTCTCATCATCTAACTGAACGAAGTTACGACGTTGCCTTCGCTAGCTTTCACGAAGCTAGAACCTCAAACGTCAGTGCTGTCCAACTGTGCCAATTAATACTGTTAAATTTGTTGTTTTATATCGTGTATCTTCCTGAAGACGCATCGAGCACAAGTTAAAACGCTGGAAAATTTCGTATAATTAACTGAATATGTGGTATCATCCCGTTAGTTTTTAAGAATTAATAATGAATTCTTTCATCAAAGGACTCAACTTCCATCTTTAAAAATATCGTAATAATTTGTTGAGTAATTCACGGTAAAATGTCATAAAGTTAAAAGAACTTACGGTCAGAACGTAGGTAATCAAACATGCAAAAGCCACGGCAAGCTTGCCTCCTGTAAGATATTCAGGAAGGCAGAACGACAGAAAGGAGATGATCACCAACAGAAACGCTACGCCGTGGCTAATAAAGAATATACTGAAGACAAAGTTCTTTCGCAAATATAGTGTCATCCGTAGGCAGCTATAATCGTCTAAAAACAAACAGCATCTTAAAAGCAATATATGGGAAAACAAATATGCAGGCTATAAAAAATCATCGAGACGCAATTAACACATAACAGATGGATCGCCCCTACCTCGTCAACGCGGTCTCAATCACGTG